CTCAGAAAACTACACAACACTGAAGAAAGAAATTAAGGAAGACACAAACAAATGGAAGCACCTCCTGTGTTCATGGGTTAGAAGAATTAACATCATCAAAATGTCCGTACTATCCAAAGCAATTTATAGGTTCAGTGCAATCCCTATTAAAGTACCAATGATATATTTTACAGATATAGAACAAACATTCAGAAATGTATATGGAACCATAAATGACCCCAAATAGCTGCAGCAATTTTGAGAGAGAAGAACAAAGCAGGAGGGATCACAATACCTGATACCAAACTGTATTACAAGTCCACTGTAATCAAAACAGTCTGGTATTGGCATAAGAACAGACACATAGACCAATGGAACAGAACAGAGAGCCCAGAAATAAACCCAAGTGTCTATGGTCAATTAATATTTGACAAAGGGGGAAGGAACATAAAATGGAGTAAAAATAGCCTCTTCAACAAATGGTGTTGGGAGATCTGGACAGCTACATGCAAAAAAATGAAACTTAATCAGCAACTTACACCATACACAAAAATAAATTCAAGGTGGATATAAGTTGTGACACCATAAAAGTCCTAGAAGAAAACATTGGCAGGAAAATCTCAGATATTCCACACAGCAACATCTTCAGTGATATGTCCCCTAGAGGAAGGGACATAAAGGGAAGAATAAACAGATGGGACCTCATCAAATTAAAAAGCTTCTGCATGGCCAAAGAAAACAGCATTAAAACGAAGAGAACCAACTATATGGGAAAACATATTTGCCAATGACACCTCAGACAAGGGTTTGATCTCCAAAATATATAAGGAACTCACATTATTCTACTCCAGGAAGATAAAAAACCCATTTTAAAAATGGGCAAAAGACCTGAATAGACACTTCTCCAAGGAAGACATACAAAGAGCCCAGAGACATATGAAAGGATGCCCAGCGTCACTGGCCCTGAGAGAGATGCAAATTAAAACCACAATGAGATACCACCTCAAACTGGTCAAAATGGACATCCTAAACAAATTAACAAACAAGTGATGAAGAGGATGTGGAGAAAAGGGGACCCTAATGCACTGTTGGTGGGAATGCAGACTGGTGCAGACACTGTGGAAAACAGTCTGGAATTTCCTCAGAAAACCAAAAATGGAACTGCCTTTTGACCCAGCAGTTCCACTGCTGGGATTATATCCTAAGAATCCTGAAACATCTATCTAAAAGAACCTATGTACCCCAAGTTCATAGCAACACAATCTACAATAGCCCAGTGCTAGAAATAACCTAAGTGCCCATCAGTAAATGAGTGGATCAAAAATCTGTGGTACATTTACACAATGGAATACTACACAGCAGAGAGAATGAAGGAGCTCTTGCCCTTTGTGATAGCATAAATAGGACTAGAGAGCATTATGTTAAGTGAAATAAGCCAGGCAGTGAGGGACAAATACCATATGATCTCACCTTTAACTGGAACATAATCAACAACAAAAAAAGCAAACAAAATATTATGTGAGACATTGAAATTAAGAATAATCTAACAATAGCCAGAGGGGTGGGGGAGGGGACAATGGGGGAAAGGTTTTTAGGAACTGCTATAAAGGACACATGGACAAAACCAAGGGGGAGGCTGGAAGCAAGGGAAAGGGGTGCATTTAGAAAGGGTGGGGGAAGGGGTAGGAGAAAATACAGACAACTGCAATTGAGCAACAATAAAATAGTTTTAAAAAAAAAGAATTTTGGACTTTCAGCCAAGATGGAAGCCTAGGTAGAAATACTGTACCTTCTCGCACAACCAAATTTAAGGACAGCAAAGATTTAGAAACAAAAACACAACCAAAACAGACAGAAAATTGAACTGTACCGAAGTCCAACAACAATGAACCATTCATCCAGACCAGTAAGAGGGGCAGAATCAGAGGCTAGCAGAGAGGGGTCGCGGCAGGAAGAGGAGGTGATTGGCAGACAGAAGTGTGGGGAGAAAACCAGAAAACCCAGTAAGGTGCATGGGGCAATTGGCTGACCATGGACACACATTTGTGTATGCAGATAAACCAGGCAGGTAAAAAAATGGTCAGTGAGACAGACCGTACAACCCAGGGCCCCAGCAATGTGAAATACAGCCTATAAGTACCAATTGGAAAAACTTTCAGGGGTTGAGGTGCTGGGAGAGGTTCCCAGCCTCACAGGAGAGTTCCTTGGGGAGACCCACAGGGTCCTAGAATGTACACAAGCTTACGCACCGGGAACCCAGAACCAGAAGGGCCCAATTTGCTTGTGGGAAGCAGCAGAGTGAACCAAAATCCAAGAGAGAGTGGAACAAACGCCATTGCTCTCTCTCTGACTCCATCCCCAGTCACAACCCAGAAACTGGGTAGACCCGCCCTGGTGAGCACATATGCCTCCGCCCCTCATACATAACAGGTGTGAACAGACCAAAACATATGGCTCAAGCAGAATAACAGCTCAAAGCCCCAGAGCCAATACTTCTAAGTGACAAAGAAATAGCCAACCTATCAGATGCACAGTTCAAAATACTAGTGATCAGGATGCTCACAAAACTGGTTGATTTTAGTCACAAATTAGAGGAACAAATGAAGGCTAAACTAGTGAAATGAAGGGAATTGCATAGGAAACCAATACTAATGAGAAGGAAACTGGGCCTCAAATCAAGGGAGTGGACCAGAAGAAAGAAAATAATGGCCAAACAGAAAAGAATAAAGAAACAATCCAAAAAAATGAGGAGAGGCTTAGGAACCTCCAGGACATCTTTAAACGTTCCAACATCCAAATTATAGGGGTACCAGAAGGGGAAGAGGAACAGCAACAAGTGGAAAAGTTATTTGAACAAATAATAAAGGAGAACTTCCTCAATCTGGCAAAGGAAATAGACTTCCAGGAAATCCAAGAAGCTCAGAGAGTCCCAAAGAAGTTGGACCCAAGAAGGAACACACCAAGGCACATCATAATTACATTAGCCAAGATTAAAATGAAGGAGAGAATCCTAGAAGCAGCAAGAGCTAAGGGGACAGTCACCTACAAAGGAGTTCCCATCAGACTGTCAGCTGATTTCTCGAAAGAGACCTTACAGGCAAGAAGGGACTGGAAAGAAGTATTCCAACTCATGAAATCCAAAGACCTACATCCAAGATTGCTCTATCCAGCAAAGCTCTCATTTAGAATAGAAGGGCAGATAAAGTACTTCTCAGATAAGGTCACATTAAAAGAGTTCATCATCACCAAGCCCTTAATATATAAAATGTTAAAGGGACTTATCTAAGAAGATAAAAAATATGAGCAGTGAAAGGATAGCAAACTTAGAGTTATTAACAAGCACACCTAAAACAAAAGCAATCTAAGAAGACGGCTAGAGCAGGAGCAGAACCATAGAAATGGAGATCACATGGAGGGTAAGCAACAGGGGAATGGGAGGAGGAGAAGGGGGGAGAAGGTACAGAGAATAAGTAGCATAGACAGCAGGTAGAAAATAGACAGGGGGAGGGCAAAAAATAGTATGGGAAATATAGAAGCTAAAGAACTTGTGACACATGGACATAAACTAAAGTGGGGGAATGGTGGGGGAAGGGGTGTGCAGGGTGGATGGGAATGAAGGGGGGAAATGGGACAACTGTAATGGCATAATCAATAAAAATATATTAAAAAATAAAAAATTTTAGTTGCCTTATAGCATTTATTTAAATGGAAATCCTGGCAGGTGACAGGCGTATGCAGGCCCTGCCCTCTAGTGGCTTGCAAATTAAGTGAATTATTTTGGCTTATATTGGTTTATTATCATTCATTCTTTAAATAACTGTAAAAAAGAAAAAGACTACCTAGAGCAGGGATGTCAAACTCATTTTCACCAGGGGCCACATCAGCCTTGAGGTTGCCTCCAAAAGGACATGAACAATTTTAGGACTGTATGAATGTAAATACTCCCTAACTGTTAAGGAGTTGAAATTACATTTGGCTCATACAAAGCATTTCACAGAAAGCAAGTCAGAAGCTATCCCCAGGTAAACTGAGACCACACGAAGTTGCTCGGTCTAGGGGGAGAGCAGAGAATCTACTCTCCATCTGGGAAGGGCCTAAGGTGTCCATAAACAGTCTTAAACAATTAGAGGAGAATTGGGATCATAACTGACACTTTGCAGACTAAAGACATTTTATAATATATATTCTATTCATCAGATTCTATATTGCTAGGGGTAATCGAATCCTTGTTTGAAAGCCAAGCCTTATCTAAATTTCTGTTCAGAAATTTGCAACCTCTAAAAAGTCTTCTTTTCCTGATCATTTCATGACTATAGCTTGGATTTTTTCTTTTACAGAAATGTTACGTTACATTGACACAGGGAAGAGTACAGCAGAAATTAGGTTTTTAATGGGGCATTTTCCCTAACATACTGCTTCGCCTTAAAACAAAAAACTGGAGAACAGCACATTAATTCCAGATTTGGCCCTTGTCTGCTAATTTCCTCTCACCCATTTCACTCCCGTGTGGCACAGAGACCACATTTTATTTTTTTTGTATATCACATTGCTTTGTGTAACTTAGCATTCTAGTATTCAAAAGATATTTCATGATAGGTTAGCTTTCTTGATAAAATGTTCAAGAACTGTTGTCAAATAGGTGTATTTCAGGAAAGCAAAAAAGAATATTTACAGCATTTTTCAACTTTATTTTTTACCATAATTCATAATAAGAAATACATTTTACATCAACCATCATATACATATAAACAAATGTATATTATCTCACCAGAACAAAAGTTATAAATAAAACACAACTTACCCTTTATACAGCTGATGCTTTTCGTTATTTTCTATTCTATTTTATTTTTTAAAATGCTGGTCATGACCCACTAGCAGATTTCATGACATCTAATGTGTTGCGATCCACACTGTGAAAAATGTTTATTTAAAAAAAAAAACTATCTTCTGGAAACAAATATGAAAGCAATCAGTAAGTAACATAAACTAGAAAGAGAAGCTTTAAAATAATGGTTACTTACTTGGTTGATGCCAACACAACATTGAGTGGTATCTGCTGAGAGAACGGAAGGAAGGGCCTGGGGAGAAAGAAAACAGAAACACGTGGGACTCTCGCACTGTGCACCCTCCGGGCCTTCTCCCAACTTAACATCGGTGAGCTTGAACGTCCCGTACGTGTTTAGTAGTCCTCAAATCTCTGACATACCCAAAATCACTAGGGAGTGTGGCGATTCTTGTTTAAAATGCAAATGTGCCAGTCTAGCCAGGAGACTCAGGAGACAGACACATGGCAGAGCTGGTAAATCTGCTCTTCCAACAATCACTGCAGTGTTCTCCCTGGAGCAGGGAAACGAGGTGCGCTTTGCGCGGCACAGCCAGTCACTGGCTCCCAGAAGCTTTTCCAGTTCCCTGAGCCATTCTGATATTCCCAATAATTTAGTCTTAAAAAGTTCCCCCAAAAGCCTAGGGATTGAGTATATTAGATTAAGAATTTCACACTTCTCTGAAAAAGTCAGCATCGTAAAATTTTTATGAGGAATATGCTCATAAATAATAATGTGAATTACAAATTTACTTTCTCAAGGAAACCTATGTAGATACCATACTAATACTATTTTTTAAATTCAGATAAGACCTACAGGAAAATCCTCATCTTATTTTAATTTAATCAGAGGACTACCTCATGAGTATTAATCACAAATGAATCAAAGTAAATCTTTGATGATGGTAGTTTTGGCGACACTCACACAGAGAGCAAATGTCATCTGTTTGCTCATTTTTAACAATTTTCCTTGCACAATGACTGTCATGCTGTCCCTACTATATCTCACTTCACATGGTTACTTTATTTTGTTCTCAAATATACATTTTTACTTGCAATTAAGTAACGATGAAGCATGGGGTCTTAGTTGGAATCCCAGTTCTGCCACTTGCTGACTTATATGACCTTGGGCCTTTTATTGCTCCTCTCTTGGTTTCAGCTCCCTTACTGGTAAGGGGGATACTATATCCATTCTACATTTCTGTTGTAAAGATTAAAAGTATATATATTTAAAGCACTTAAAGTGGTGCCTGGCACACTGCCTGCCCTTGAAAATGATGGCTGCCGTCATTATCACAGAGAAGTTCGTTAATGACATCAGGGCTCCTATTCATTAGTAGTTACTTTTTACCTTTCAAAATATTTGTAGCGATTCTTTCCAGTAACATCAGGATCTTCATAAACTTTAGACATCTGAAAAGAAGTGTCAGTGCTAAAATAAAGTAGGAAAACATTAATTGAAGTCTAAAATATTTCCAAATATAACTTGTATTTAATATTTCTATGTCCATAAAGTAGGAGATACCAGGGCATTTCAGACTGAGAGCAAAGTCTCCTGTGACACACACCTGACTGACCAGCAGCTCAGAACAGACAGAGTTACCTTCCCTGTGCCAGGAGTCCTGGAGCCACCAAGAGGAAGTGCAAGTGAAGGAAAGAGTCAATTTGCAGAGACACGGAGAAGAGACTGGTGATTGTCAGAGGGGAGTGGGGTTGGGGAACTGGGTGGAAAAGGTGAAGGGATTAAGAAGTACAAATTGGGGCCCTGGCTGGTAGGGGAGGGGAGAGAGGAAGGCATATTGATGTTTCTCTCCCTCTCTCCTTCCCTTCCCCTCTAAAGATAAATAAATAAAATCTTTAAAAAAAAAAAAAGAAGTACAAATTGGAAGTTACAAAGTAGTCACGGGGATGTAAAGTGCAGTACAGGTAATATAGTTAATAATAATGTAATAACTATGGATGGTGCCAGATGAGTACTGGAAATATCAGGGGGAGCACTCTGTAAAGTATGTGATTGTCTAACCACTATGATGTGCACCCAAAATGAATACAAAATTATATGGAATATAAACTAATTGAAAAAATAAAATTTAAAGTTCTTTTTAAAATAAATAATTTATGAAAAGAAAAACAAGAGTCAGTTTATAAAAATCCCACAATTTAAAAAATGCCTACTTTTAATTACTAGCATATAAGACTAACAAAGTTTTAAAAGACAACTGTTGATCTCTTTTAAATGTAACATTTTAAAACACTTAGTAGGTATGAACTTGTAAATAATTAAAACAATAAGGAATTCATGAAACATGTCTCTGAAGATGCTTTGGACACAAGGCTCCACAACACATTTAGATCGTATCAGAAAATTACTTCCAATTTCTAAGATGGAGCAAAGAAACAACAAATTCAGTCACCTCCACCTTTGCTGGCAATTTGTTATTTAATATATACATTGACCCCAACCTTCTGAGAACATCTGTTAACCGATAAACCTATAAGCATTGCTCCTGAGTCAGAGTCATTTTGGTCAAAGAGGTTAAGAGAGAGAGAATTTGGGGTATTAGCCTAGGTAGAGCATCACAATTGTACATTTTAAAATAAAGCAAAATAAACAAATATTTTTAATAAGAAAAATGCATTCATTAAAAATATGAGTAGCGGCTGAAGCCAGTGGATACTTACACAGCAAGTTGCTGGAGGGCTTCTCTCTGCTTCTCCTCAAGCCCCCTCCACTCCCGACTGACACATGGAGGGACGGGGTCTGCCTTGCTCCAATACAGAGAATGTCTTGGATAATGGATCAGGTTACTGAACATGGCGCGAAACCTGGGGACTTTCCTCTAATGTTAACACAGGGAGGCAGGGAGAAAGGGGGCAAAATTATAGCATCAGATTTTCTAAAGCATTTTACTTATATTGTCGACTTTTTAAAAAGGCACAAAAGAGTGTATATGGCATAGAAAGAAGGGTTATTGGTATATGTGTAAAATATCTCTGGAAGAATACTCAATAAACTAATGACAATGAATAATTATGGGGATAATTCTAACCCCGTAGAGAGTTAGAATTTACTTCATACTGTATATACTTCTGAACTTCCTTAATGCTTTTCATACAGACATATATTACTTTCCCAGTGAAATAAATTAGGTTGTAATGAGTCTTTTATTCATTGGTAATAAGTGAATCCTCACATTGGGTCACAAGTATCAAGATGCCTTTGTCCCCTAGTAATCATGGCAAAATAATATCTGGAGAATATAAAGTCCAGTGAAGATCTGTTGATGAGTCAATCTTATCAGTGCCATTAGCCACACTAGGTGGTTCAGGTTCATTAGGCTGCCTTAGTGAATGAATTAGACCTACCAGTCTGCTTCGACTCAAGAATGCTTGCATATTTGCCTGTGCGTGGTCTTTCTCACTTGACACAATAAACAATGGATCTACAAAATAAACAATAGGATAGTATGAAGAATAGGACAAATCTAGTCCCAGGCTGAGAACAATGCCAAAGCAATGCAATTTCTTAACTGGAAAACAAATTAGAAAATGTAGATATTGCTTAACTCTGCAGGAGCTCATAAGCCCTATTACTCTGCCACGATTGAGAGTCTGTTAGATGTTCATTCCAAAGTCAGTTTATAAAACTGGAATGCAAAGAAAGGCCTAACATCTTCTCTGGCACCATGACTCACATGCTTTCTTCTATTCTATGAACAAGCCAGTTTCTGGGGCGAGGAAGCCCAGGAAATAGTCCAAGAGGAAAGAACATGTATACACACACTATGTCCATTTGCAAGTGAAAGAAACAATAAATTTGTGCACTACATCCCATATTCAATACACAGGGAAGATACAAACTCTTAACAGAATGTTATCTCGGAATGGGTCAACATAGTAAGAAAATGTCATTCTCTAATAAGAGATAAATAAAGTCAGCTATGGTGCCGTGGCTGTGTGGATGAGTTGGATGGAGTGTTGTCCTGCAGCCAAAAGGTTGCGGGTTCAATGGCCACTCTGGACACATACAGGAGGCAACCAACTGATGTTTCTTTCTCTCTCCCTTCCTCTCTCTCTGAAAGCAATGAAAAAAAAAGTGTCCTCCAGTGAGGATAGAAGAAAAGGATTGGCTATCTTCAGAAATCACTCCTTAAGTTTAAAAGTATGTTAATGAGGGGACTAAGTTATTTCTCCAAAGTTCAACAAAAGATTGATATATTGAGAATAGTATTGAATAAAGGGAAATTTCTATTCATACTTTTGTTTTAAGTCACTTAAGGATAATACCAGGCGTATGGTTGCAATTGTGTTGTTCATCTGAAATTAGTTTAGGCTGCATATCCTCTGAGTCTGAATAATAAATAATAACTGTTATTATTCTCCTGTTATTACCAAAAGGAGTTTTAAGACATGGTATCTATAGAAACATTCTCGCCACCTACAACAGATAACGACACAATACTGTATGATTTGTGAGCCTACACATTCTGCAACACGCCCTACAACTGTGATTATAATGATGCTCAAAAGGCAGGAGAGGGAGCATTTGAGATCTTGATCTTGAGTGTATGTTGTCAGTTTGGCTCAAATAAACTCACAAAAATTCTAAAAAAAAAACAGTAGAAAAGTCTCCAAGATGCCTAAGTAATACAAGTATTAGCAGTCACCAGGTATCACTTGTTCACTTCAGGTACCACTCCTAAACAGTATTAAGTGCTTTATATGTAATATTCTACTTAATCTTCACAAAAACCCAGGGAGGTAGGTACTAGGCCTCCATTTTATAGGTGAGGAAACTGAAACTTAAGAAGTTAGCAACTTACTGACTGGCAGTCAGGATCTGAACTCTAATCCTTCTGGCTCCCAGGCCTAATATTATCAAAAACCCGTGAATTTTATGAGGGAAATTTTCCCATGGAAATCATGAGAGAGCCCCTCAGCCAATTTACTCATGTTGTAGAAATAGTTCTAACAAGCCAAGAATGTTGTCACAACCAAGTAATGGTGAAAGGAAGTGTTTCAAACCCCAAGACATAACGACTACTTTTAGAGGAAAATGTTATAAATTGCAGATTTTGGAAGGAAAGAAAGGAGAAAGAGCTCATGATAAACCCAGAACATATTTTTAAATACTTTTGGAAGCTAAGAAAAATATATCATATGTTTAAAAGACTTTAATTATCAGGGCAGTACTGTAGCTAATAATCCATCAACAAATGTACAGATTCAAGGAAGTAACAAAGCATAGTAGACACTTCAAAGGAGGTACCTGATACACAGCATTTACAAAAAAAACCCAACAACACAATGAAATGCATAATGATATACAAATGATTAGTAGTTAGGATTTATAAAAGAATGATGTTAATTGTAAAATATTATACAAATGTAAGGTATGTGAATTACTACAGTGACCAGAAAAGTAAAATTACATGTAGTGAGGATGTCCAAGCAAAACTTCCTAGAACAGCAAAAGCCTTGAACAGACAAACTACACCGAAAGGTCAGTGAGTTTGAGAGGTGGGGGCAGGGGAAGGGTGAAAGAGCCTGGAGAGGTGTTCATATTTGGATCATTGACCCCCACACACCCACCTCACCCAACAACCTCGCTATTTCTCTCTTCGATTTTCAGCTAAGATATACACAGACTCTGCACGATTGATGGTGAGCTTTAGGCTATAGAAGTCACTTAGAGTGCCATCCCAGTCCCTGTCATAGGAAAAGAAATCCGTACACAAGTGGCTTTCTGTCAAAAGAAAGAAGGAAGCATATAGGCAGAAAGAAGCAGGGTTGGAGTTGCCAGATAAAGTATAGAAAGCATTATTTTTAAAATTTTATTTAGTTTTTTTAAAAAAAATTTTTCCCAATATTTTTTGTGTATTTTGAGGTGTGGCTCCCACATGGTATAAAGTTGATTGCTCTCAATGAATGTCTCAATTGATCACTATCAACTTCATCTGGCCCACCCAACTGTGGAGCATCATCCATGGAGAAATCTCTGGCATGAAACTTCGCAAATCACTTTTTTTAAAAAAAAATATTTTCTTTATTTATTTTTTGAGAGAGGGGAAGGGAAGGAGAAAGAGTGGGAGAGAAACATCAATGTGTGGTTGCCTCTCATGCGTCCCCTGCTGGGAACTGGCCTGCAACCCAGGCATGTGCCCTGACTGGGAATCGAACCGCGATACTCTGGTTCGCAGGCCCGTGCTCAATCCACTGAGCTACGCCAGCCAGGGCCGCAAATCACTTTTGACACATTTGATCAGTCATAGCACCTTCTCCACACACTGCACAAATCTTTTTTTTTTCATTTTAATTGCATTTTTACCTTTCTTAAAATAATAAAGCATAGTATGCCAAAAATGTTGCTTATGTTCTTCCATCTTCAATATTAAAAGGGCTATACAAAAATTCACCAGTTTGGATGAGTTCTTTCTTAATGCATGCTATTATGACAGCTGTCACAATACAATTTAACAAAATTGTTTCGTATGAAGTTAAAGACACTATTAGGGCCATCATACGGAAAAAAACAAACTCTTTGGCCAACCCAGTGTGTCCCAATATTGCATGGGACTAAAAATGTACATCAAAACAGTATTCATTATTTATCTCAAATTCAAATTTCACAGTGTGTCCTGTATCTTTATTTGCTAAATCTGCTAACCCTAACAGGGTGAAAAAACCACAGAGTCCAAGAAATTGAGCAGAAGGGCAGGGCACCTTAGTTCTGACCTTCCCTGTGCTTGCCGTATTTTCTTCCTAACCACAAGTATCTGTGCGACAGCCTGTTTTACGACAACAATCCAAACTTTTGTGTCACCTGTTCTGAGTGGATGTGGAAACTTTTAGCAATGTCTCTGCAAAAATAAAAAGTTACATTTAGGGACCAAAGAAACAAGGAGCTTAATTCTTTGCCTGTCTTTACTCATAGAAGATATCTATCTCTATTCCCAAATTACCTGCGAAATAAACATGGTGATGTGTTTAGAGGAGTTTACTAGATTTATTTTATAAGATAAAGCCAAAGGCACATAAAGAAAACCAATGGCCAGAATATATAAGTAAATATTACATAGCCCCTATACCAGGAAATGGGTACTTTATAGGATTCCCATCCAGAGGAGACCCTGGGAATCCCAGAGGAGTTAAGACATGGGTAAAAGTAATATAAGGTTCAGGTGAAGAGCCTGGGACTACTCAGGCAAAATTAATGGCAAACTCAGTGATTTAATAAACGTCTATGAGGCAACTAGCATATGCACCAGCACTGGAACAGGTACTGAGAAGGCTACAAAAAATGTTTAGAACAAGAACTTAAAGAATGCAAGGGACTTAAGGTCCAGTATAAGAGGCAGACATAAAACAGACAACCAGGGCATTAAAATAAATTGGGGCTTTTGGGCCAATAAAGTGGACCTAGTTTATAAACAATGTTTTAATGGGGAAGAATAAGTTTAAAGAGAAAACTAAAAACAAAGGTGAGATAAACTGGCACTTTACCGAGAAGGACAAATTTGGAGGTGTCCAGAGACTGGGAGCTGGAAGTTGTTGGGGGTTTTTACGCAGTTTGAACTGCGGAAATGTTGCGTGACTCTCCAAGTGTGCAAATGATTGCATACTTTTCTGGATACTAAAACTTCCAGGAAGGCCGCTTAGGGCTGTACAAATTATCATGAAAAGGGGGTGGCTAAGTGTCTGGCGGCCTCACGCGGTCCCTGGAGCGCATCGGCTGTCACCTGCAGGGCTCGGAGCTGCGTCCACCCAACGAAGGACAACCGCGGCCACGGAACTCGTCCTGTTGCTCGGCTTTCGCCCCACCGGCTAGAGGCCCACCTAGCCCAGGAGTCGGTAAGTCAGGAGGGAGGTCTGGGGCCACCCTTACCGTACAGGAAATCATAAGCTCGGCTGCAGGAGACCTTGTGCACGGACCCCGAATTCGCCTTGCACCGCATTTTGGACGCCTGCAGCTTGGCCTGAGGCTCTCGGATGGTCACTACCTGGCTCATGGTGCCGACCCTTCCCCACCGAGAGCAGGGGACTGACTGACTAGGTAGGCCTAAAGGCGGTGTGCATCGTAGCTATGGTAACCTCGGCGGGCATTCTAGGCGGAGGGGCCGGGCGAGCCGCGGTAGGGGCGGGGCTGTCGAGGGGAGGGGGCGGGACTCAAAAGGAAGGGGAAGCGCAGGGGTGAGAGTGAGGAGGGCGGTGGCACAGGCGTTTACGCGCGGACTGGGAGCGGAGAGGGCTGAGTGGCAGGAACGGGCGGAGACGGGGCAGAGAGGGGGAGGGCGGGGAGCGAGTCGGCACGGGTCTCTCTAACCTGCCACTGCATTCCCGAGCCCGAGCCTCCGGCTTTCAGCCGCCCACCCAGTTCAACGCTGCAGGGGCCGGAGGCTGGGGAAGAGGCTGCTGCGCAAATCCAGCAGACATTTGCACTCTGTAGCCTCTTTAGGAAATCCTGGGAAATCTCAGGCCATTCTAGAATAGTCGGGCTTTCATCTCGGACATCCCCTTTCCGTGGGGCCTGTGCGAGTTGAGAGCTCCCGAGCGTTGGTCCTTGGCGTTTGGCGCATTGAGCTCTAGCCCCAGTCAATAGCGTTTAAAGGCTGCATAATTAACGGCACACTATTACCACTTACCTCTGGGCATTAAATCAACTAAAGGTCACGTGGTGTAGGCAATAGCAGTGCTTCTCGAAACTGTTTATTATGAGAAATTTTTAAACAGATCATTTTTAATGATCCCTTATGTATCTATCGCCAAGAATGATTTCATTATCACTTCCCCTCTTTTTGCTTGACTATTTTAAAACAAATCCCAGACATTATTTTACCCTTAATCTGCATCTTTATTTTTTAAAACTTAACCAACAACATCACATCTAATAAAATAATTCTTTCATATCATCTAATACTCAGTTCGTATCCAAATTTCCCTGGTTGAGTCCAACCAAGATGTAATGTAATAGTTGGTTTAATCAAAGTTTTGTTCTGATCAAAGGATTTTTAAAAAAGTGTTCACATTGCATTTTGGTATGCCTCTTAAATCTATTATTCTAGAACAGTGACTCTACTACTTTCAATAATTTTCTTTATTAGCTGGTATTCTTTTATGAAAACAACTTTCTCTCATCAACTTATTGGTTATCCTAAAATACAGGGACCTTAGAGGAAAGACTGGAGAAATGGTGGGTTCTTGCACTTTTATTACCAAATTTCAGAGAAATGAGCCAGTGCCCCAGCAACCCCAGGGTTAACCAATAAGGTTTTGTTTGTTTGGTATCATTATGAATGCATGCATTTTTACTTATCTGATGTTTTAACCCATTACCATCCTTTTTCTTTATGATGCTCAGATTATTCCATTAGCCTGGAGGCACACTTTGGAGTTGGCTTCTTTGTTCTTTTGAAGTGATTCACAGACATTCTTGAATAAGACTCTTAGCTTAGCCTGATGTTCTTTCCACAAATAGTCTTGGTTTTATTTTCTGTACTCCTAAACTTCTTGGGGTTTTTGCAAACCAGCCATATATCTTGTCACCTCCAAATCGTTGCTCAAGCTGATACCTTTGCCTAAAATGCCTTTTCCTATTTATGCCACCCAACTAATAATAGGTATCCTTCAAGACTCACTGCTAACTTGGCCACCTTTATGTAGTTTCCCCATATCCCCCAGAGCAAGGCTTCATTGTTTCTTCAGTGCTGCAGTAGCACCGATAGCACTGACCCCCATGGATTAGTAACTGTTTGAAACTCTGCTCTTCACAACTGTGAGTTCATTGAGAGCACAGAATCTCTGAAGTACTTGCTACATGAAAGCTTAATAAAATGATTCCTGATGAATAAATCCACCCATTTACTAAACAAATTTGATGTCTATATGAAACAAGTACTGAAGATTTTAAGATACTTTGTATAGCTCAATGGATGATGGAGAAAATACAGAAACAAATAAAATACAATGTTTCAATAATATGATAATATTTTTCCGTCTGTAGGTATAGCGACATTTCCCAGGTTCTATTTCCTCTTCCCAGAATGTTCCTCATCCTGCCTCCTCATGTTCTCACTGCTGACTCGTCATTCGAAGTCTCAGCTAAAATGTCCCCTTCTCTAAAATACTTTTTTCACTCTGTCAGATAAATTATCTGAAGTAATTAGCAGCCAGCCAGCCCCCTCCATAAACACATTGGAAGACACTAACCAACAGAATATGTCGACCGTGATGGGATATATGTGACTACGTGATTATGTAACATGGACTATAGTGCCCATCTTGCTGGCATTGTTCACTCTCTCCCCTGCTGGCTTTGAGAAAGCAGTGGCCATATTGGGGACTGGACATGAGAAAGAACTACAGGTAGCCTGTCAGAGCTAAACACCACCTGTACCCTACAACCAGCAAGAAACCAAATCCCTCAGTCCTACAGTTGCAAGAAACTGAGTCCTGCCAACAACCTGGGAGAGATATCCTTCCCCGGTGGAATCTCAGATGAGACCACAGTCTCAGCCCAACCCTTGATTGCAACCCTGCGAACTCCTCATCAGAGGAGCCACTTAAGCCATAGAAACTGTGAGATATATTAAGGTGTATTAAGATGTATGAAGGTATGTTACCTCTAGGTTTGTGGTAATATTGTTACACAGCAAAAAAAATGACTAATATGCAACCTTTATGAAATTAAGTTCTGTTTTTTGCTTTACTAGTGCAGAAGAAACTTTGATATTAGAGAGGGATGCTAGTTAATAATAAAGTTTCATTGAAATGAAAGTTATACTTTGCCATGTTGGGAGATGGTTCTCCATGGGTCTCTCATGTTTCTGTTTGTCTCATTCTTAAACAAGCAGAGAAACAAAAAGAAAAAAATGGTGGCCAGGGTCACTGTCTTTTTGTTCTTTTGTTTGTATAGGAGACAACCTGGGACAACAGCAATAGTGTCTCCCTCCAGGAAAAAAAAGCAGGTTTACTTACAGCCTTACACGTCTGAGACAGTGTCCTGCTTTAAGCAAAGGGCAGGCATTCGTACTGCCCATCATTAAAGATCGGGGTTTCCTAAGCACACTGTTCCTTTCTTGTAATGAAACCCTATGTGTAAGCGGATGTCCTCTAGCCTTCTCCACAGCATGTTGTGGGAATTGGGGTTCAGGGAACTGGTACAAAAATGCTGATATTTTGCTGCGGCTGCTGCTGCTGCTGCTGCTGCTGCTGCTGCTGCTGCTGCTGCAAGTAATAAATTATCTTTTATCCCTGACCCAGCAGTTTTCTTGCTTCTACCAGAACTCATGGAACTGTGGCAGTCAAGTAGGAGGGTCAAACTTCAGACCTTTCAGAGTTCTTGAAAAGCTCTAGAGAGTGATGTACACCACACATTGGGACACAATCATTCATATTCATTGTGCTAAGAAAAAGCCCATTATAGTCAGCATTTCAATTGGGACACATTTTTTTTTGTAGAGGCAGAAACATTAATACTGTACAAAATTACCACTGAACCTGTTGACCAGGCAAGTGAGAATTCAAGCCTTCTAATTCTTCTCTCTTGGCATAGGGTCTCACTCCTTCTCTACCAACCTCAACTACCCGCCCTTACCTGCCTAGTCCTGCCTAACTAATCCCAGGTGTGCAGACTTTAAGATTAATTAGGCATGGAGTAACACAGAATACCTTTATCATGGAGGGTTTTTATAAACTATTTCCTTAGTTGTTGCTTGTTATAGTACCAGGGCTGTCATCCCATCCACAGAATGACTGCGCGATGCCATTCATAGCTATTACCCCCATTCAGTAACATCCTGCAACATATTCATTGTGCTAAGAAAAAGCCCATTATAGTCAGCATTTCAATTCTTGTTGCCTACTGAATTAGCAATTACAGCAAAAGCAAAGGGCCCCAGAGGCTTAAAATGGTAAAATATCACTGGTTAAAATCAGACCTGAGGTTTTTACATAGGGCATATTAAATTAATTTAAAATGTTTTGTCTATTGTGTTATTGTTACTTTATATAAGTTCCTTAACTCTAGACATTAATCCCTGGTTGGCTTTACATATTTCACACATCTTTTACCAGTCTGTCATCTATTTGTTAACTTTGTCTTTAATATTTTTTAAAAGATAAACTAAGGCATATTAAAAAATTTGAGTTTACTTGAGCCAAATTTGATTCAAGTAGAGCAGCAGCAAACCAGAAGTGGTTAGGAACACTTCACAGACAGGAGCTTGTGGAGAGGCTTTTACATGGAAAAGGCAGAGAAAGGTAAGAAAATTCTTGACTGGTTACAGCTTAAAGCCTCGTTGGCTGTTTGTGATTAGCTGTCCTTAGCATTTTGATTTTGTAACCTGGAGGCTTTTATACCCTTAGATTTTGGTTAGAGCCACATTAGTCTAATGGCCTCCTTCTTTATTTTGATGACATTAACTCCATCAATTTTTTTACTTGCAATTTGTGTTTTTGAAATGTTGTCACATACGTTGTTCCCCACCACTGGGTATGAAGATAATCTCCTCTACTACCTTCTATGAATGTCTTAGTTTGACCTTTCACATGTATACCTTTGATGCATCCCTTCCTTCTGATATGAGGTTTCATTTTATCAGAGTTTATTGTATTTTCCCCATTGATTTGTTGAACTGTGTTATTGTGTATTATGTTTCCAAGTGATGTTGATGTTACTAGTCCAAGAAACACTGAGTGGTAAGATACTAAACAATGGGTGTGAACACCTAGTTGAAAGAACTAATAACCATAATAAGGGTGAATTGAGAACATAAGGGCAATGTGTCATATTAAATGTACTGATCCATAGTGAAGTAAAAATCATGCTATTAGAAGTTTTTAGATGACAAAATTGGGATGGTTTTAGTAACTTGGAAAATATACATATATAAACTACTCCCACTCAGTACCAGTTCAGACCACTTGTGGATTCCCTGAACTAAGTCTCTGAAATACAGAAACAAACCTTGGTTAGGTCATATTGAAGGTTTGATTACCCAAAATATCCATTAGCTATCTGAACAATGCTGCAAAGTACTGCTTAAAAAAATAAGTTCATTTTTCTTTCTCCAACAATCCTCTATAGCAAAAAAATGCAATCGCTGTGTATATACTATTGCAAATAATGTAGGCACCAGTTAACTGAATTCAAGAAATATCAAGGAAAGGCATTTTGCAATTTATTAACTAATATACTTGCCCTGGTTGAACAATTCATGCTGAAGTCAAATCAGGAGAGAGAGCTACAAACGCCAATTTCTGTGAATTTAAAGTGTATGGGGTAAGCTATGGGTGGTAGGGGAATTTTTTCAATACTTGTGGAAATGCATTGTTCAATGTCTTTGCTAGTCGTTTTTAACTAGGTCAGTGAAAGACACTGGGGGAAAGGGGCAGGAAGGAAACTCAGGCAGTGCCCCATCCAGAAACACAGATGTCAATGTCAGAAACATTCAAACCTGTAGAGAATTTTTGGTGAGTTTATTTAAGCCAAACTGATGACAGTGGCCAGGAAGCAGTACCTCAAAGGACTGAGAAATGCTCCAAAGAATAGCAGGTTAGCACTTTATGTTATACATTAGAATTAAAGGAGGAGCCATAAGGAATTTATATGAAGTCCATTGGTGATAGATTAGGGAGGCAGGAAAAAGCCAAGTGGATTCAATCAAAGGTAAAATGGTAGACACATACTCCTTTTACAGATCATGGATAAAGGATAGTTAATAATGAACAATTAACATAATAACAGTAACAATGAGGGGATTTGTGGCCTCAGCTTGTGCCCAAGCGGCTTGGGAAAAGGGACATTACCTTGACGTTCAAAAGGTATGTCATCATAAATGCAGAAAAGACTATACAGGCTTAGTTAAGGTAAAGATCAACCTTTGTTAGGGGAAAATAGTGGCCTAGAACATGACTACCCAGCCTGAACTGCTTTTAGTAAGTTTTAATTTCAGACCATCCTTTGTGATTACTTCAGGTAAGTTTGGGAGGCTGCCTGGCATCGTCAGGTTAATATGTGGCCCCTTTTCTTCCACACCGAGAATTAATCTGTTATTCTGAAAGGGGAGCCTGCTTTCAATAGCGGGTTCTCTTATTTAGTGTGGACAAGTCTTTTCACTTTCTAGAGCTTTACTTTCCAACATTTACGATACCTGGAGGGCTTAAGAGACACTCAGTTATCTATTCTCAGCCTTTATTAATTATAAATTCTTTACGCCCTTTCATCAGGCTCCCTGAACGCACACCCAGGAGGTGCCCTCCAAGTGCCTTTACTTAGCCTCTTCTGCGCAGGCGCCCTCTTCATTTCCCCGCCTCCCTCCCCCCCCCGCCCCTCACGCCTGTCAGTCAGAGAGGCAGGACTTCCGATACTTTATAGACGGGCTGCCGGAACTGACTACCGGAAGTGGCTGCCTGTGATTCGGCTTTTGCAGAGGCTGGGAAAGTTGAGGGTACCTGTACTAGTTGCCCCTTTCAGCTTGCAAGATGCCTGGTCTGGCGGCCGCAAGCCCTGCCCCTTCTGAGGCTCAGGAGAAGAAGCCGCTGAAACCCTGCTGCGCCTGCCCAGAGACCAAGAAGGCGCGCGATGCGTGGTCAGTGCGCAGCCTGGGAGTGGGCGGCAGGCAGTGCCTTTTTCCCCTTGACCCGCCATGGGCGGGTCTTGGCCCTCGCTCTACTGAACGGTTCTGTTTAGGGTTATTTGGGCCCTGTAGGCTTGGCTGTGTTGTTGACTGAGCGCACAGCTCTGGCGGGAAACAGATGAAGGGGTAGAAGAGGGGATGCCTTTGGTCGGAAGAGGTAGACGTGGATAAATATGCTACTTGATTTAAAGAAGCTTTAAGTTAATGGGGACATATACCAGTAATGGTTGTACCACGTGGTGTGGACTATTATAGGAGATTTAGCAAAACCAAAGAATAAACATTCTGTAATTTTTACAGAAAATTTAGACGTAGTAGGATAAGGGATACATTTCTTACAGTACTAAAGATTTTTCCCTCCTCTTCCCTCCCCTCCTTAGGTAGATAATTTAAAAATTGACAATCAATGACAGGTGACATTGTAGTATTCAGAATAGTACATCCAGATTACCATCAATCTACAAAAGCTTTTGTTTTTCATTTTATACAGCCTCTATAGTGGATTCCCTTTAAATCTCATTAGAAGGAATTTAAGTGCCATCATAAGATTGATAAGAATTGTAGAAGCTTAGTGTTTTTTACTAATACTTAGTACTTTGCAAATAATGTGGCGGGAGAATTGAAACTGGAAGTTCAAAACAAGTCACCCCAAGATATGCTTCTATAATTTGCAGATCGTTTTGAGCTAAAGGCAGCTTTAGCCATGGGCTCGAGAATCTTCTGCCCCTTCCCTTAAGTACCTAGAAGAACTTGAATTAGGGGCCTTGCCCATGAGAGATTATTAGAAATAACCTCTTTGAACCTATTTATGGGGCAGGACAAACTTCTATTTACTGAGCATCTGCTTTTTAAAATCCTGCAATGACCTTTTGAAGCCCCCAAGGCACCTTACCTCATCCCTAGATCAAGATATCTTAATGTAGCCACGTTCTATCTCTGAACCTGTCCTGCAAGTCGGATCTCAGACTCTCTTATGTACGCAGGTTCCGACACATAAATATGTATTAAATTTGGTTATTTTCTCTTGCTAATGTCTCAAGCCTGTTTGATGATTAGATCAGCCAGCAAGAACCTTGAGGGTAGGGGAAAGTTTTTTCCTTCTCCACAAAAGATACTGAAGTTGCTTCCACAGTAAAAGTAAGTGCTATTGAACGTTCAGATAGTACGATGTCATGATTAAGAGACTAGGATCCAGAGTCAGTGTTTGAATCCTGGTCCGTTGACTCAAACAAATTATCTGAAGAATCTGCCTTCAGGATTACTGCAAGGGTTAATGATATAAGCCACATCAAGAGCATAGCACAGAATTAAATTTATAGCGTTGAATTAAATGATCAAGTAATGCTAGCTGTTACCCACGTGAGTAGTTTGCCATCCTAGTCACTCTCATTTTCAGGCAGCCCTTGAGCATTTTTAAAAGTCCTCACCAAGGATATATTTACTGTTTTTAGAGAGAGAGGTCAATCTATCAGACCCACAACCTAGATATGTGCCCTGACTGGGGAATGGAACCTGCAAACTTTTGCTGTGTAGGAATGACTCTCCAACCAACTGAGCCACTCCCACCAGGATTTAAATGGAAGGAGAACCTAACCTTCCTTAAATTACTTTTGTATCAGTTGCCTTAGACCACTGTGGCTTCTCCCCAAATATCTATAGTCAGGAGTTAGTTTTTACTTATAATTGAATTTGCCTTAACATGATTCTTTGCTAAAATTACATTTTCAGGCCCTAGAAATAAGCTGTGTGGTCCTAGTCTTTACTTTGTGAATCTTACAAATGAAAAGTTCTTTGATCATCGTGAGGGGGTCTCATCGGGGTACCCTTGGCTGCCAGTTCTTTTTTGCTGTTTATATTATTGGGTGTCTTTTGATTAAAAGGAGGTTTATTTAGGTGTATTTCTTTTTTTCATTTTTAATAAGTTTTTTAAAAGATTTTATTTATTTTTAGATAGAGAGGAAGGGAGGGAGAAAGAAAGGGAGAGAAACATCAGCGTGTGGTTGCCTCTCGTGAACCACCAACTGGGGATGTGGCCTGCAACCCAGGCATGAGCCCTGACTAGAAATCAAACCCATGACCCTTTGGTTTGCAGGCCAGCATTCAATCTACTGAGCCACACCAACCAAGGTTTGGTGTATTTTCATATAGGGCAGAATCAAAAATTTCTCTATGATAGCTGGCAAAAAATTAAGTTCTTCTCTCTGTGCTATATTTAATGTTAGTATTTTATTCAGTCAGTTTATTTCATTATAGAACAGTACTATTCCTTGGATATGGACTAGAGGTAATATTTGATATTCATACTTATTACTTCTAACCAGATATCTATCCCCACCCAAAATACTAGTTATCTGTGAAACATCTTTATGAGCATGAAAATATACAAGAACGAAAAAAATCCATTTGGCATAATAGCATTTTTTTTAACTCCAGCTATATTTGATGAGATCTATGTTCTGCCTCATTCCTCATCATCATTATGCATGCTTATTTACTACTAGTGTGTTTAATGCCTACTTTGTTAGATAACAAGTACATTTTGTTTTGTAGCATCATTGAGAAAGGGGAAGAACACTGTGGACACCTAATCGAGGCCCACAAGGAGTGCATGAGAGCCCTGGGATTTAAGATATGAAATGGTGAGCACGTTACTCTCTGATTGGGAAGGTAATACATATGCTCATTGCTTCAGATTTCTCTATTGCTTTACAGGTTTAGCAGTTATTGGGCAACATTCTATCTGAAAGATAGTTTATCTGCTTAGTCCAACATGCTGTGTTATCACTAAAAAATAACTTTACAGTTGCTAATGTAGGGAGTAAGTGGTGCCAATAAACTGAGAGGTAGTCATTGGATTTGGGAAGGGGGTAATTGAGCTTTCAAGAAAGGGCTTGACAAAAAACTTTTAGATTTATGTTAAAGTCAGAAGTAATTATGGCTTCGGACACTCATAATATTCAGTTGTGCAACTTAAAGAAACTAGAAAGAAAACATCTCTATTCCTTATTTCTAATGCTGTGGGTCTTTTAGTAAGTGCTTTTAAACAGGGAGTGGTGATACATGGAGGCATTGCTTTCTGTAAAACAAAAATGGAATTTTTGCTATTTCTGTTTTTGTTCTTGTTTTTTATTTATTTTATTTATTTATTTTAGAGGAGAAAGAAGGGAGGAAGAGAGGGAGAGAAGCATCAGTGTGTGGCTTCCTCCCACACACCCCCCACCAGGGACTGGGTCCACAACCCAGGTGTGTGCCCTGACTGGGAATCAAATGGACGACCCTGTGGTTCTCAGGCCCGTACTTAATCCACTGAGCCACACCAGCCAAGGCTGCTATTTCTTTTTTGTATTGTACTTTATTCTAATAAAGTCCTAATAATTAAAACCTCAGACCATTTTTGGAAGAACTTTGAATCCAAATTTTAATGCTGAAAGGGACATTAATAAAAGTGATTTTCTTTTGTTTGGAAGCTGTTCCTTCTGATAGCACCTTGATTCACTACCTCACTCCATTCAGGTCTCTTTTTAAATCCCTCCTTATCAAAGAGGCTTTCGCTCAACATTCCATCTAAAATAACATCCCTTTCCCATCACTCTCCAGTAGAACTTTCCGTGATAATGAAAATGTTCTGTACTTGGACTTTCTAGTATGGTAGCCTCCAGCCTTATGTGACTTTTGAGAGCTTAAAATGTGAGTAGTAAAACAGAGAAACTGTATTTTCATAGTTTATTTAATTTTAATAGCCACCACATCTGGCTAGTGGCTACTTTATTCTTAACACCATTGCCTACACATTTTTAAGTATATTTTATTGATTATGCTATTACAGTTGTCCCGATTTTCCCCTTTGCCCCCCTCCACCCCATACCCCACTTCCCTCCATCAGTCCCCCTTCTTAGTCCATGGGTCATGCATATAGGTTCTTTGGCTTCTTCATTTCCTGTACTGTCCTTAACTTCCCCATGTCTATTTTGTACCTACCAATTATGCTTCTTAATCCCTGTCCCTTCTCCCCCATTCTCCTTCCCCCCTCTCCACCAGTAGCCCTCCATGTGCTCTCCATTTGTCTGATTCTGTTCCTGTTTCTAGTTTTTTGCCTAGTTTGCTTTTGTTTTTGTTTTTTTAGATTCAGTTGGTGATAGTTGTGAGTTTGTTGTCATTTTACTGTTCATAGTTTGATCTTTTTCTTCAATAAGTGCCTTTACATTTCATATGATAAGGGCTTGGTGATGATGAACTCTTTTAGCTTTACCTTGTCTGGGAAGCACTGTATCTGCCCTTCATTCTAAATGAAAGCTTTGCTGGATAGAGTAATCTAGGTTGTAGGTCCTTGCTTTTCATCACTTTGAATACTTCTTCCCAGTCCCTTCTTGCCTGCAGAGTTTCTTCTGAGAAATAAGCTGATAGTCTTGTGGGAACTCCTTTGGAGGTAATGCTCTTTTTTTTTCTTGCTGCTTTTAAGAGTCTCTCTTTATCTTTAACCTTTGGCATTTTAATTGTGATGTGTCTTGGTGTGGCCCTCTTTGGGTCCAGCTTGTTTGGGACTCTCTGGGCTTCCTGGACTTGTATGTCTTTTTCCTTCAAATTGGGGAAGTTTTCTTTCATTATTTTTTTCAAACAAGTTTTCAATTTCTTGCTGTTCCTCTTCTCCTTCTGGCACCCCTATGATTCAATGTTGGCACATTTGGAGATGTCCCACAGTCCTCTTATTCTCTCCTCATTTGTTTGAATTCTTGTTTCTCCGTTCTGTATGGTTGACTGTTTATTTCTTCCTTATGTTCCAGTTCATCGATCTGAACCCCAGCTTCCTTCCTTTCACTATTGGTTCCCTGTGGAATTTTCTTTATTTCACTTAGTATAGTCTTAATTTCTTCCCTTATGCATTTGCTGTACTCAGTGATTTCTCTGAGTATCCTGATCACTAGTGTTTTGAACTCTGCACCCAATAGGTTGGCTATCTCCATTTCATTTAGTTCTGTTTCTGGGAGTTTGATCTGTTCTTTCACTTGGGCCATATTTCTTTGTCTCTACAATTTGGCAGGTGCCCTGTGTTGGTTTCTGTGTATTAGGTAGAGCCACTTTGACTCCCTGTCTTGGTGTATTTGTTATGTTGTAAGGGGCAAATTTGTAGGTATTTGCCAGGGTAGAGCAACCCACTTTGTGGCACTGTATGTGGGCGAGAGGCGTCAGAGAGGGAACAAGGCCACTTGCTCAGCTCTCACCCCGTTTCCAGTCACTCTCCCCACTTCCCATATGTGACTAAGTGCCCTTTTAGCTGCTGCTTTGGTGCTGAATCCCAGCATGGATGGGTTTGCATTCATTTTAGGGCCATGTGGGTCCTTTAAATGGGCTCTCTTGAGAGACTGGCAATTCATTCTGCCACCTCAACCCCCACCGGTTTTTATTTCCCAGTGCTGGACCCCTGGGCTGTGTCTGGCCTGGGGCCAGGATCACTCGCTCCCCAGGTGTCCCTCCCTGTTTTTATCCAGCACCTGTGAATGTGGGGCCACATTCATATGCTGCCACATGCCGCCGCTGCCACACCACGTTCTTCCCACCCCTGCTCCCCATCTCTGCCCCTCCTGCCCGTTTGGATGAATATTTCTTCTTTAAATCCTTAGTTTTTAGACTTCCATAGTTTGATTTTCTGGCAGTTCTAGTTGTTTTTAGTTTTGAAGTTAGTTGTGATCCTTCTTACAGTTTTGTGAGGAGACGAAGCATGTCTATCTATTCCCCCATCTTGGCCAGAAGTGCATATTACATATTTATTTCTCATCTGCTTTGTTTTACTCCAACTGGAATGTAATCTCAGAGAGAGTTGGATTTTCTGTTTCATTCCCTGTCATATTCTCAGGGCCTGTAACATTTGTTGTTCCTGGCACAGTAGTAAGTGTTCATTAGAGGATTGTTAAATAAATGAATAAGTAAGTGAGGACACTAAGTCCTGTAAGTATGAAGTGATGCCTGAGGTGGGTTAGCAGGATCAGAGCTGGAACCTGTCTCCAGGCTGACTCCTCCTGCTGTGTGCCCCGCCCCACCCTCAGGGCCCGTCATCCGCGTCACACCACCACTTTTAACTTAATCGTAGCAGAGATAATGCCAAAGCCAGACACCAAGGGAACAGTGATAGAGAGCCTGGCTTCTTTCCCTTTCACTTTCGTGCCTCTTTGGAATTTCACATATGGCCAGTGTTCCTCATTGAGCTGTAAAAAAAGCAGGGGTAAGGAACTTGTCCTGAGCTGATAATACTATGTAGTGGAAAACAGTCCAGGCTGAAAGTCCTCAGGCTTAATTTTGGTTCTCCTGACGTCTAACTTAGCATGTGTTTTATTTCACATGCTACTGATTATTTTTAAAGACACGGAATCTCAACAGTTGTGCATGCTTTTCTTGTTGTCAGGATAGGCAAACCCAGGGGAGGCCCCTGAGACTGAAATAGTCCTCTGTAAGTGGAGGTCAGGGAAAGACCGAGGAAAGAGGCCGGCCGCTCCAGCCTGGTAATTCATGGAGTTTATCAAGGGAAATGTACGCACGAGGGACCTGTCTTGGGCAGCTGCAAGATGAACTAGATCCCTGTACCCCTTGACAGGGGCCAGAAAATTATACAGGATAAAGGGGGGCATAGTCACAGGTACTAGTATGTGAATGCCACCAGGTACGGAAAATTTCATGCTTGTCCAGGTCAGAACAACAACCTGTTCCAGAAACCAGCACGTCGCAGGAGGCAAGGAAAGGGTGCTGCTTTATGTCAGAATGAGCATGAATTATAATTTGTCATAATCTGTCAGGGGAGTTCAGAGAAAGCAAACTCTGTTCTGGCCCAGATAGCAGTTATGTCATGGAACAGTCTCTCCTCTAACTAGTTCATGACCCGACTCTTCCCAGTCAGTGATGTAAGCTGTTGGCTAGGCCCAATCCTGCCTTGATAAAAAGGGTGATTGTTTAAAATGCTCATTTTAGGAGCACCAAAAGCTTCTCTTAGATTTCATGTGGATAACAAAGGTAGTACAATTGTTATAAGTAGCATGTATTCACAAGGATCAGAAGATACAGTTCCCCTGTGTTATTAGGACAGAATTAGAGTGATTCCTGCATTCTTCATTTGTTTATAAAAGAAAGTGCAAGAGTTTGGACTTAGGAGACCTGATGGTGAAACAATTGTTGCTCCTGGGCAAGTCCTTAACTTTCTGAACTTTCGTTTCCTTGTCTGTAAAGCAAAGATAGTAATACATGACCAAATTACTTCATAGTCATTGTGATGATTAAATGATGTACGTATGAATGGGCTTTTTAAACTGTCAGATAGAAACCAGAAAGGATATCTCATGTATTGGAAGTTGTGGACAGGAGACATTTAATTGAGGTCTGTTAAATCTATAAGCTAATAGTGTATTTTTGAATTCTGGTTGGAAGAACAATCTGAATCCACATAGGAACAGTTGGAAGAGGAACAGGTATCCTGTTTCCCCAACCCCTATGGGGAAGTGGAGGAGCAGTGAGTCAGAAGACTTGCTGAAGTTGAGTGGATAGATGGTGGGATTAAAACTGGAGTCTGTGTCTTTTGTGTTCCCTAAATCACAGGCACTTGACTCTTTACCCCTTGCACTTAATGAGGTATACTTGCCAACCTATTCATTTTTAGGATTGCACATCATCTTGATCTGTAATCCTAAAACCTTATAATGAATGCTAATTAGAAAGGCCTAATGTTGAAGTGCATAGGTATATAACTTAGTAACCAGGTCATTGGCTGTAGGGTAAAATCCAACACTAATATCCCAGATATTTTGCTGTCTCGGCCAGAACAGAGTTTGCTTTCTCTGAACTCCCCTGACAGATTATGACAAATTATAATTCATGCTCATTCTGACATAAAGCAGCACCCTTTCCTTGCCTCCTGCAATGTGCTGGTTTCTGGAACAGGTTGTTGTTCTGACCTGGACAAGCATGAAATTTTCCGTACCTGGTGGCATTCACATACTAGTACCTGTGACTATGCCCCCCCCCTTTATCCTGTATAATTTTCTGGTCCCTGTCAAGGGGTACAGGGATCTAGTTCATCTTGCAGCTGTCCTTATGACCGTCTACACTGTCATAAGATAAACTTAACTAAATTGATCTCTCTCAGACTGGTAGACCACATTTTTCTGAGGATAGCTTGAAATGAAAAATATTTTACAAACTTAGAAGATCTTCACAGTAATGATTATGAAAGTTTCATAATTCAAAAACCTTTGTAGATATTAGTGTTATTTTCTAAATAATTGTACCTTGAAATCAGTAGGTTGGGACTTAACATAAAAGCAGGCTACATTTAGCCAGAGGTGTACCTTATCATCACCTGAGGAATATTTCCCAAAATTCATAAGCCTGGGCCCCAAACTGCACC